TTTACTGGCTCCCTTTAAGCAGCACCTGAGAAACAGCAACTTGAAACTGTGTCAACTCGAGAGGCGACGTGAGAGACGCGGCCGTGGCCATAGCCGCGTACTGTGCATTGATTCAGGCACAACACTCAGTTAACACAATGGAAACTGAAAACAGTCGCTTGATAAGGACCAGTCACAACTTCAAAGCCACAAACAAAGTTATCAAGGTTGAACATGTGGCTGTAATTTCACTTTCAGACGGGCAAACTTTCATTTTGACTTATACATTGCCTTGTACTCCTCGAACATTTCACATTTGATCATGTTTCAAACACAAACCTCTACGTATTTTGTTTGGATTTTATGAAATAGATCAAGCCAAGGGAGCACACCTATCAGCTTTTTTGTTTTTTTCGAAAAATAAAATCGGAAAACTTTGCCATGTTTTTTTCTCCAATTTTGAACTTGAACATGAGAACATGGATTTTCTCATAACCCGGTACAAAACCTTTCCCCTCTATTCCAATGCGTAGGTCCTTGTACTACTTGTACCTTTATAAGACACTTTGCTATAAGATATCTGCTAGCAAGTGGTTATTTAAAATGTGTAAATTATGTATTTCCTGGGGCGGCGCTCTTAGAAAAAAGGTTGAAAGCCTCTGCTCTATAACAAAATGCTCTTCGTATCAAGGCCCTGACCTACAATCAGCTCTGTCCTGGAAATCTGATGTATCTTTTTTTTTTTTAACTGAGACGTGGCAGGTGGATTGAGATTCACAGACAGATTTTAAATTTTTTATTCAGAGATGAATAATAGATGGCGTACAGTAAACCACCTCTTGGATCAGAAGAAAAACTCCACATCCAGCTTCTTTTTTTTCCCTTCTAACAGGAAGCTTTGAGAAACTCAAGTCAGTGTCAGCAGCGTCGTTATAAAATTATTTAACCTTTGCATGTACTGGTATTAAAACGAGCCAACATGCAGCGGTTTCTTTGCTACTTTGAGTCACAGACAGCATTTTTCTCCAGTTTCCCTCTTTGTCCCCTGAGAGAGAAAAAAAAAGCCTGAATAAACCAAAAGTAAAGTCAGACGTCACAAATTTACATCCAAGCATCATGTGCGCACAGTGCATAGTGCGTAGGCCACAGAGGCGGTTGCCCGGGGCTGCAACGTCCGTGGGGCGTGAGAATAATAGCAATTGACCGGCACCCTTTGTTTAAAATAACAGATGTTTTCCTAATAAAGCCACTGTAGATGCTGCACAATATGTTATATGTAAGAATTTTATTTCCTGCTGCTCTAATCATTGGTAAAAAAAAATCCAATATGAAAACACGAGCCAAACATAAGACGTCGCTTATTAAAGCAGAAAAACAAAAAAATAGTTGTGATTGGCAAAACTAAAACATTTCAATCATCCAAACTCAATTGTCGGATTCAGATTTAAACAAAAAATAAATAAAATAAGTAAAATGTTTGTAATATTCGGCAAGAGCACAAGAACCTGTTGGGGTCAAGCTTCAGATTTGTCAACTTCACCTCGGATCAATAGCTACAGTTAACTGGTTGAACATAACCGAGTCTTTTAACAGGACAGTTGTTTCAAACAGATGAAGATCAGTTCTGGAATTTATTAAGAAGGCTTCGGCCATACATACCAGATGCTTCGTAAATCTCCCGCAAATTCTAAAACGTGTTTTAGCTCACAACCCTTTCAAGGCTGTGGATATCCTTAGAGCATGCGTTTGGCACTCAGTGGGCAACCAAAAGAATGATTGTTTTGTGGCTTATTCTTCCTGTGAAGGGCGTATCCCTAGACACGCAGCATTTTCTCTTCTTTACTTAAAAGAAAATGGATGGAAATTTACTCCTTAACTAAAAAAATAAAATAAAATCTGCAGGTGCTTTATTGCGGAGATGGGACAAGAGGATCAACACAAAGAGGCCCATTTTGGGTGGCTGAATAACAAGGCTTGTAACAATTGTTATGGAAGATTTGCAGATGCACGTGCACGAAGGAAATGCTCCTCCATGGAAAAAGCCTAACTCAGCGCAATCCGCTCAAACTTCCCCATTTAGCAGCCTTCCTATCTCCAAAGAGCACAGCCGGCATGCCTCCATCAGCCCGCATTTGTGCTCAGCTGGCTGCCGGGCGGCCGAAGACAGCTTGATAATGGGCCTCCACTCAGCGCGTCTGCTTTTTATAAATGTGCACGGTCGGAAGATGAATGAGATTCCTCATTCAATGAGGTAAGAGGAAATTGGTTCGTTGGCACTGCCTTTGTGCGCGGGCTCGATGTAAACAGTGAACATATTGTTTGGGCCCTAATGGAATCCTCAGGTCGAGGACGGAGGCCCGTGATGGATGGCTCCTTATCTCGGCTCCACAAGGAAGCAAACCCCAAAAGCATTAAGCTGCATTGAGTCGCTGCAGCGCGGCTTCCTGCCCGTTGGGAGTCGAGGGAGGAGGAGAGCTTAGTTTGTCTGGTCGACGCCTGTTGGTGATGCTCCGCCGTCATATCTCTGCTCAGAGGCTGCAGGGCAATGAGACGCTGCTGCAGGAGAGTGAGCAGAGCAGAGAGCGAGATCGTTTTCCCTTTAATCTTCTGTTTGCTATTTTTCTTTAATAAAAACAAATGTAAAAAAATAGTCAACTCATCCTGGTACATTAAATGACAAATTTTATTTAAGAAAAAAAGAAACTTAATTTATATAAACAGTAGCTAATGTAGTAGTTGGGGGTTTCATGTTGTTTTTAGTTTACTTTTTCTTTTTACCTGTTATGAAACCAAGGATAATTGATAATGAAGGAAAGCTGAGATTGATCCAATGATCCCGTCAACCATTGTTAGAAATCTCTAACAAGCTGACCTTTAAGAGGCTGATTGAATTTTACAAAACAAGTTAAAAACAAAAAAAACCTTTAGAGACTGTCGGATCAGGAGGATCCAAATGATTGTGGACATATTTGGCCAACAGAGCAGCTACTGATCATAGCTTTATCTCTCTTGTATTGCATGGTGGGGGTTCTCTTATGGTGTTGAAATGTTTTGCTCAGAAATGTGCGTGGATTTAATTCAAATTAACCATCTGAAATGACATAAAACATCTGTTTAGAATCTGCAATGGGTCAATTTAGGGGGTAGTTAAAGTCCTTTTTACTGCCAAAAATCTCTGAATTTATTCATTTATTTATTATTTTGATAAAAAGAAAACATTTCTGAGTTTGAAAAGTCAAAAACTTGCTTGAAAATTTTTTTTAGACAAAGTAAAAACTTGGAAATTTTTGTTTTACTCGTCCAAAAAATGTCATCTTTTGGAAAACTTTCCGATTTTCAGCTTTTGAAACACAGACCTCTTCAAACTGTTTGCAGAATATTTTTCAGACTAATCTCAAAATGTCTTAGTTTTTTGGCGGAAATTTTGCTCTGTATGTTCTCATCCACAGTGGCTCTAATACACCATCATAAGAATGTCTGTGCACTGTGAAGAATTTACATCAGTTACAATAACACTCACTTAATTTCCCTATGAATCTCATTGAATTCGGATTTAAAAAGTGAAGGGTGTGAATATTTTTGGAGTGACGCTGCTACCCCGGAGCGAATCTGAGCAGAAAGGACAAACTGAGGACATTGGAGGGAACATGTGACAAATCAAATAACCTTAGGTTTGTCAACATTGAACATAAAAGGAGAAAATTGCCAAAATGATGTTGCCGTGTTGGTTGGTGAGACAATATAAGCAATGAATAGCAGGCACAGTAAAGTTCTTCCTGTTTTTCGCCATTAAAGATTGTTACACCTGTCTAATTCTTCTCTCCATGAGAGATTATCCAGACCGGAGGCTTCCTCTTTCCGGGTCGTGGGTCAAGCAAGCATGATAGACAGACCTGACAGGCAGACCGCTTCGCAGAGAGCTGCGGCCACTGTGCGCCTCTGAGCTGCTCGTATATTGATGAACGAGTCCTGGCCTGCATATGCACAGGAGAGGAACTAACGATGAGAACGCGTTTGAGTGACAGCCGGAAAGACGAGCTGCCCAGGTGCATGCTGCTGGCACAGGATGCGAGTTTGACAGATTCAATTTGACTATCGGGCCCGCTGAGCAAAGCCTCACGCTGAATTACAATGGGAAAAGTAAATTTGGTTCTGAGAACGAATCGGTGCGCTGTCACAAAGGCCCAAGCTGTGAAACCCTTAACGCAATTAACGAACACCCGGTGGCACAGAAACGAAGCAGCCTTTCACAAGCACAGCAAATGCAACAAGACAGGCAGCCATTTTGAACGACTCGTTAGTCTCCGTGCTGCGTTGATGGAGGATCCAAACGCAGCGAGGTGGGGACGGCGAGTAGGTCGTAAGTTTTAATAAAAAAACCAAGAGCAAAAAGATAAAAATAGATTTATAAATATTTATAGGAAACACAGGGAGCCAGAGCAGAACAAAAAACAAAAAAAACACTGGAAGCAGGAACACATCCAGCAGAGTGAAACAGGTGGAGAAATAAGCGAAAACTAGACTAAGAAGAACTGAATTAAGTTAAATAAAAAAGGGAAACAAAGCTGATATAATCAAAGAAAGATGAAAATGAGAGTCACCTTCTGGTGACATTGTAACAGATCGTTTCTCAGGACGTGGCTTGTGTGTGTGTGTGAATTCAGACGAGCATCATTCATATGCTGCCCCTCTTATTTGCCCCACTTTAGATGCCACTGAAGTGTGGAAAAATGGTTGCTTGCCGAGACTTCCCATCGCGACGACTCTTAATGCGCTGTCAGGGGGGATGGGAGGAGGAACCGGTTCTCCTGGCAATTTCATTAGATGACATCAAAGCAGGAAAACCGCAAAAGAGAGCGGCAAGGGGTGTTCTCTGATGAGGAAATATCAGGCCATTAGAGTTTCACTGCAGGGGGAAAAAAAATCAGAAGTGACAGGGAGACGTAGAGTTTTTTTGTTTTTTGTTTTTTATTTTTTATAAGACGCTTTTCTCCACAGGGGAAAAATAGCATTCGCTGGCTTTCAGATCGTGATGCAACACAGAGCAAATAGATCATTCTATCTTTTAAAAACATGTTTGTGTGAGCGGAGGCATTTAGGAAACACTGCCAAACCAACAGGGGCCTTATGGCTGCCTGTCACCACCTGATGCGAGTCGCTGAGTGATGCAAGTCACGACCGGCTGTGAGTCGGGAGGAAGTTAATACCTGATGGGAATTGAGAATCCAACCGACGCCATCTTCTCTCCACTCGGAGATATGTCGTGCCTGGAGACAATATTGATTTCCTCCACGACTCCGAGCTTTACCGGGAGTTCGTGGCGTAGTAGTAGCCGTGAAGTCAAGGAAAACAACGTCAACTGGCTTTCAATGCGCTTTACGAGTGAAAACCTGAGAATCGTAGAGCACAATTTACATTTAGTTCTCGCTATTAGAGCTCGGCGAAGGCCTCAGATGTTTCACAGAGGTCGTTGGAGAACCAAACAGCATCGAAAAGAACAGAAATAACAGAAAATAGAATGTAAATGCTACATATTTGAGGATAAAGTCATTAGATTACTTAGTAATGTTCCAAAATTTCTTAGAAATGGAAGGAGTATCACTAAAATTGAGATCTACCAATTAGCAGATTTAGTTTTCATTTTAGACAATAATAATGTTCTGGAGCCGCCAAGCCGGAATCATGACGTAAATATGATAGATTATCTGAAAGAGGAGCTAAAAATGAAGATGGAGAAAAGCCTTCCCACCTCAATTAATACCAGTCAAAACATGCTGAATCAAAAACCCGTCCCGTTATCTTTTGAGATATCTCTCTCTCAGTTCCGATCAGCAACAAACTTCTTGATTGAATTAAAATACGTGTGAATGAGTCGGTGCTTGACATTGCCTGCCTTTCGCACTTACGCTTAAAAAAAGATACATATAGACAAACCAGAGAACTCTGGAAGTCAGAAAAGGTTCAGCCGAACCTGATTTAATCCCTTTGACAAACAGCAGCTCTGATTAGGAGCTAATGCATAGTTGTGAGTGCGGTGCAGGGATAAAAATCATCACTGATTTCTTCTCCATTCAATTCTGTATTATTTTCCATCTTATCAGAAGGATTTTTGCAGTCATTTTCAAGAGCTGAAGCCCGATGAGGCTATATTTTCCTTCTGACCCCCGGCTTTCACCCTATTAGAGCAGAGTCCTTATCAGCTTCATCAGGCTGGGAACGGAGAGACACTCAGTGGCCTTCATGTGCAATGATAAGAGCTGACCAGGCTAAGCGTCCATCATCCCAGACCAGAGGTCACGACCTTGAGAGGAATGTTAGAAAGAGTTAGAAATCGAATCATGAGCTGTTGTCATCAGTGTCTTTCGGTGTGGCGTCCACTAAAACACACCGAGTGCCTAACCAGCCTCACCTAATGCTGCACCATTACCCGGCAGCATCGACTCCTCCGATTGGAAATCTGTTGAGAGACTGGGACGCTTGCCCTTTGAGCTGTCCAACAGCGCCATCTAGGAGGTTGAGACGAGAAACAAAAAAAAGGGCTGTTTGCAAATGCAGTTGCCTATTTTGCATTTTGAAGAGTCTGCAAAAGACTCCACTTGCACACCCAAATGCAAATGCACCCAAATAAAAAGGGCAGGATTTGCACCGCCGCCACGCTGCATGAACACTCACCGACGCGCATGCTGACAGGCACGTTTCACAAGACCGAACAGGAAGAGGGAAGGAGGCAAGACTTGGAATTCTCTCTCCAGTTTCCCAGCACTAAATGAATAGTCAGCTCAATAGTATCTGCAAGTCAATGCTGAACATTAACTTCTGAATATTACAACTACCGTGTGCGCTTTGAAGTGGGACGATTTTATTAGACAGTTCAGCGACACATGAGGTTTGTTGCATTGTAAGTTGAAATGAACTTTCTTTAAGAATTCTGCAGGGGATCAGATGACATCATCAATGTAGAGAATGCTGATGAGCAACTTTATTATTTTGAAAACACACATGTATTTTTTTTTTCTCTTTTACAAAATTGTAATCAAATTGTAGTGCAATAACAAGGCTCTATTTAATTTTTTAAAATAATAAAATAAAATAAACTGTCAAATAAAGCATAGAATAACACCAAAAACAGTGTAAATAAATAATCGGAATAAATATTGAAACACATCAAATTCTGTGATGTCATTATTGACAGTAGTTGCCTTACCTGCAATAAAAAGATCTTATAACACCATGAACTTGTTGAAAATATAAGCCACCTGGAGTAATTTGCAGATCGACTGATCATAGAAACATGACTCTCCATGACACGTCTCCACTGCATCGACACTTTGCTTTGCACTTGGTTACGTAAGGCTTGAGTGCAGAGTTTTTGCAGAGCCAGCCTGCAGGCTTTGGTGCTCGGTTTTGTACTTTTGGCCCTGGGAGTGGCTGCGTGCAACACGTAAATTCAGTGATTTGAATATTTCTGTCACTACAGTGTTACCTAATGTAAGAACTAAAACTAAAACTGTGAGCTGTCGTTTAGATTTCATTCTTGGAACATTGGTGTTTCAGAAGACATAAGGACAGCTGAGCGTGTTAATGATTGCAAATATCAATGAAAATCACCGAGGCTATCTTTTTTTTTTTAGATATTTTTGTTCTTACTTTTTCTTGCTTGTCTAGTTTAATTATCTTTATTTGCTTCTATTGCACTTTTGCAATTTAAAAGGTCATCATAAGTCAAACGTAATTGCAGCCTTATCTCTTCCTTTGAGTTAAAGCTGACATATTAAAGTACTTTTTTTTTCCTTATTATTGTTTTAGAATTGCTTTGTTGTTTAACTATTTAAATCTTTTACTGGTTACAAATACAAATGGAAAAGTGATATTTCACGTGTGATTGTATTCTTCACGTTGTAAATTAAAATTCAGTTGTTTATTTAATATTTGGTTTTGTATTTACAAGCTGCATTTTTGAATTGTGGTTATTTTAGAGCTATGTATAGATAATATAGAAAGTTCTCTATAAACCAAATCTGGTTCATATTTGCTGAACGAACGCCAAAACAAAACAATATTATGGTGATTTTCCTCCTCTCCGCTTCCCTAACCTTATTTTACTTGCATAGCACACCTTTACCTTTGTGTATTTTTCCAATTCAACTCAGCAGCCTCACTGGAAAAGGTTCGCTGTCCTGAAAGGTTACCATAGGTTATATCTGTGTGGGCTGAGCTTCACAGCGTCTCACGCTTTAAGAAAGACTGAAAAAACGTAAGAGCTCTCACAGTGTTCCAAAAGACGACGAAAGAACTCCGACAAATAAAATGCTGTTCAGATTCTGATAATAATGATTACTGTTCAAATAGACGATCTTTGCGTTAGCTTCACGCTATTGGTTGATAGAACCACACAGGGGCGTGGATTTCAGGCAACCTCGGCGCAGTCACAGGGCAGAGTGGGCGTTGAATCTGTACTCACCCCACCCCTCCTTATCTCAAATCCTGACTTCACGTTCTCAAACGCTACACAAGTTGAGTCCACTCAATTCGTGAAATTTTCCCGGGGGAAACATGACGGAAAGCTCCTCGACGAAGCTCCTGAACGGAGACGCCTGCCGCCGGACGTTGAACGGGAAGAACGCGAGTAAAAATGGCTACGTGAAGAAGAACCGTTGTCTGTTTCAGCAGCCACAGAAGTGCCGTCGCTCCGGGGAGAAGGTAAGGCCTAACCGTCACGGAGAGAAGACCGGAAGAGGCAAGCAACACACAGCGCTCCTTTCTATTTTGTATTTCATAAATTAAACACAGCGTCCGATTCGTCCTATAACGTATATATTTATGTTTTGCCGTGTTTATATAGCGGCTAAATTCTTGCGTGGGAGTGGTTTCCCTGAGCAGGAACGTGTAAGGCGCGGCTGCTTGTCAGTATAACAATAAGTCTCTGCTAATGTCATCGTAATTACCCTGTACAGCTAGCTCCCAACGCTCCTTCCTGGGACTTGACGCAAACATTTTGTATTAGACATTAGCCGTGGCGCATGGCACACGTTTTTTTTTTTCGTTTCTTGTTCGAAATGTAAATCCTGAAATGCCGGCGTTGCGTTCACAATTGTCCGTTTCATAGAGGGCTGCTGGAACGGCCAGCCTTCACTTATGTAATTTCGACACTGTTGTGGACTGAGAAACCTGATCAGGGACGATTGTAGTGACGACTTCACCCTCCTCCATCTCCTGCAACTTTACACCCTGTTGTTTCCATGCCGTATGCGCAGCCCGGTGAGGTTAGACGGGTCTTCCCTTTGCTGACTTCAGTTTGAAGAGGACAAGTGTGTCGGAGGTGGTGTCTGTCGGAGGGAGGCTCGGCGGTGCTTCGACTTGTCCCATCAGCTGGAGTGTCTCCAGGCTTGAAAGGGCGCTGTCCATTTTCGCAGTTTGGTTTTTCTTAAATGGCACACATTCTTCATTCGGGTGTGAACTCCTCTCTCTATCCAGAGGAAGATCAGAGTGGATGTCATACTTCACTGGTTCAATTGTTGTCATCCACCGGGTTCTTGTTTTGAGCAGATCAGGAGGTTAAGGCAGAGATGCAATCCTATCACAGCTCAAGTTGCTTTCAGTAAGAGGTGGGATTCATGGCGTCAAAAGGAAGAACGTTTCCTGGCTTGTCACCATCCTGGAGTTGTAAATTGCAAAGAGTCTAAAGTAGAAATGCACCACCAGCATAATATTTACAAATGCCTTCCAGATGCAGTGTTTTGCGATCGCTGAAGTTGCTGGTTCTGATTCCAAACCGTCTCTTCCATCGAGAACGGAGGTCTTCTGACAGATTTAAAGAGCTGCAGCAAAAGCAAATGAGGTGGATTCGCAACGGATTGCGTCGTGTGTGGGACATAGAAACTTGAGCCATTGCTGTGTCATTGCCAGGCCTGTCACAACAGCGTATGAATTGACTCAGAGATTAAACGATAACATTGTTGTTTCGAGACCATTTTTAAGAAATACATTGGTAGGGCATAATAATGTAAGTTCACTCTCTCAAACATCTATAAACTTTAATTTTGTAAAGGACTCTTTACATTAGAATCGGAAGATATTTTAAACAGAAGTAACAATAATGGCCAATAAATTGCACATCACAAAAACATAAATCAAATGAACTACAAAGTTTCTAAACAAAAATAGCCCTTCAAAAAATATTAATCATCAGAATGGAAATTATTACACTCCTTTTAATTGATCATGCAATGAATTGATATATTGCTTATTGCGACAGGTTTCGTCATGACGGATATGGCACTGTCATAGAACAACAATGTCTTCAGTCAGAGGCTTCTTTGGATTCTTTGCAAGCCTGACTGCTACTGGAGGTCCTTTCTGCTCACAGCCTCGTCACTCGAAACAACTCTTTGAAGATAATTTGATGATATTAGTTATGGTATTTGATTTCCCTTTGGGATAAATGAGGTATTTTGGATTTGAAGAGATTTTGGACTGTCTGATCACTGGTCAGAGCTTGTCCGGCTGATAATTGCACGTCCAAATTTCTAACCATTTTTGTGTGGTCTCTTCATAAACAGCGTTGTGGCTCCTTTCATTGGATTTGGTCGATAGAAGTATCCAAAGAGTGACGCTGCGTAATTCCACTTTTCTACATGAAGTTAGATATTATTCAAAACTCTAATCCATTTCTAGTTGTAAATGTTTTTAACCCTGTTTTTTTTTTTTCTCAACACATTTGACGTAATTCTGACACGGGGGGAAAAACGTCCCGATACGGGAATCCGAAAGGCACGTAAACAATCCCCTCAGACTGTCTCCACACTGGGTCAGCACTTTTAATTATTTTTTCTTTTTGCAAACAGAATTCTGGCTTTCTTATTTATTGTCCAGTTTGAGCCAAACACGATGTGCTTACACCACAAGCTTCCCCCTATTGTGTACACAATGTAATCTGATCGTCTGCCACCGAGATGCAGAACAAGCAAGTGAAACATTCTCTTCACTTCTCCTGGTGCCCACTTCACTGTAATCTCTGTTTAGCCGCTTAATTTGTTTGTATCTTTTCCTCTTAAAGGTTCGTTTTGAGTTTCTTTTTCTTCTTCTCCCATCAACTCCCAACTGTCCACCATGTGGAGTATTTTCTCTGCTGCTTCAGAGCAGAACCTGTGTGGCAGACTTTTAGAATGCACAGACGATACACACAGCGCACTTAGAGCTGCTCAGAGGTATTTCTTTGAGAAGCATGACCGGTCACATGAGAAGTGGCTGCTTGTCTGCCGGGCAGAGCTGGTAATGAGCGACCGCACTCGAGTTGAAATTCCTCCAGTTCAGCTCAAAATTCTGCTTACATGTTCTCCTCCGACCAGATTTAAGTTCCCCTGCATTCCAAGATCAATACATTTACAACTCTGGATTAATGACTTCTCTGCTAACCGGTGTGTGCAAGAGACCGGGTCTTTTTAAAAGAAAAAAAGAAAATGCATTGGAGTCCCGATTTACTGTTTAACCTTTTCTAAGATAAAGAGTTTAATACGTAATCCCTGCTGTTCTGTAACGCGCGAGGAGCCTGTCTATTGTTTTATTGGTGTGTCCTTTCCATGACTCGTCTGACCTCCAGCATAGATAAATAGTTATCTTTTTTAATGATGTGACGTTATGTTTACCGTCACATTATTGTTCAATGACGTAAGCAATTAAAAGTTGTCACATTCGTTTTTGTATTTATCCTTTTAAACTTAACAAAGTTTGAGAGTTCAGGGAAAGTCAGAAAGTCAAATTAAGACAAGAAAATATGTCGAAACCCTGTTTATGGCTTGTGTGCAGTATAAACGTTGCTTTCATTTGGACTTCTGAAAACGTCCATTTCTCGTTCCCCAGAAGCAAAATGCGACCCATAATCCCAGGTTGTACAAGAAGCCGTTCGTGGAGTCGTTCGAGGAGACGCCTCTGCTGGTGGCTGTGCTCACCTACATGGGCTACGGCATCCTCACCGTCTTCGGCTACCTCAGAGACTTCCTCCGCCACTGGAACATCGAGAAGTGCCATGTGGCTCGAGAGAGAGACGAACAGAAGGTGAAGCAGCTTTTTTTTTTTTTTTTTTTTTTTTTTTTGCGTGTTTGATACGTGGAAGATATCAGATATCGTAGTAGATTCTTTGAGGAGTTTTGACAGAAATCGAAGCGTTTCCCTCTGTCTGGTTCGTGTTTTCTTTACAGTTGTTTATTTTCCAGAAAATGCTGCTAAAAGAATCTTCCTGTTAAGAAGCTACCAGCTCTTCACTGCAAAAACTCAACATTTTACCAAGTGTTTTTTTTCTGCCCAGTTCTTATTGCAAATGTCCCAACACACTTGAAATGAGATCAAAACTAACTTAAAAGTCACTTTTCAGCAAGAAATAGGATTTAGTTTTGAGTCAATAATACTAGAATGTTGATGATAAAAAGTGCTAGCCATGACATTTTTCCCACACTGTAAGTTTAACTTTATTGTTTCACTGGGAGGTTATGTCACTTGTAGTTTGCACTTTATCAATATTAAGGAATTATTGACTTAAAACAAGCTCCTACTTTATGCTGTAAGGTAGTTTTTTATTTTTTTAAAAAAATCTTATTTCAAGTGTCTTAAGATAATTTGCACCAGAAACTAGACAAAAAAATACTTGATAACATTTTGTGTTCTGGCAGTTTTATCATTTTGTCTGTGTTTTCGCCTTTCATTGCCTTCAGACCGATTTATCTTGTCAGATATGTCCTTTTGCTCGGAACACAGATAACTTGTGCATACCGGAATGTCACGATAAGCGTAGAAATATTTCCTCCACTCGCCACAGGATTTCGTGCCTCTCTATCAGGACTTTGAAAACTTCTACACCAGGAACCTGTACATGCGGATCCGGGACAACTGGAACCGGCCCATCTGCAGCACCCCCGGAGCCAAGATGGACCTCGTGGAGAGAGTTACCCACAACTACAACTGGACGTTTGAGTAGGTTGCTGCGTTGTGTATTTCTGTTGGCATTTTTTTGTTCGTTTTGAGGAAAGTATGTCTCAAAATGAAAATAAGTGCATGTTCTCTTCTACCAACTGAGCTACATTCCACCTCTGTCATTTCAATAGTTGTGATATAGTTGTGGTTTTCCCGGCGTACAGTGGCAGTTTGTGATGATGCTGATCTAGGCTCACGCCCAGTGGTTGCTTAAGTAGCACCCTGCACAGATTGACTTCATTTGTGATTCAGGAAGTTATTTTGTACGCACCGGTATCTGTCACACGGTCTTTATCTTAAAAAATAAAGACATTAAAACACAGTTTGTTATGTCTTAATGTGGTTACAGTGACCCTGTAAATCATCTTGGAACGAGTTAAAAGGCGTGGCGCCAGACTAATTTTTTCCCACTATTTGTGATTATCTATTATCTCGAGAAAATGGAACGCGTAATATTCAAAACACTAACGTTAATGAATATCTCAACTCTTTCACAACGACTGAAAGGAGTGCAGGGCGTTCGTCACTATTTATGTAGACAAACAGCTCTGTTAAAATTCTGGCTGAGTCATATGCCTTCCAGTTTATCACGTCGGTATGAGAAGTATCTACAAGAGTGCTGGGAGCTTTTTTTTTTTTTTTGTTAAATAAACTCTCATTGTCAGTGTAGATGAAGACAAAAGCAGGTAAAGCATAAACACTTAATAATAAAAGTAGATGTAGTCAAAGTCTGACCCAATCTTAGCTTTTATGGTCTCTTTAGTAATTATAAATAATTAAATTGGAATAAAAAAAATAAAAAAAACTGAACTTTCACAACAAGTAAATGTTTATAGAAAAATGAACAAAACACTGATTTCTCAGAAACAACCCAAAGTCATACACTTATTTATCTAAAGACGAAGAGATGTAGCCGAATCCTCCAGGTTATTAGACATATATAAGATCTTCCATTTCTTTCTACTATATCTTTACTAAAACCGTCTCCATTGAATATTGAATGAGGAAAAGCTCAGGTTTACTATTATATCTTTAAACCAGAAATGTTTTTTTTTTAAACATAAGCATTTGTTTGTCATGGTCTGTTATTATTTGTCATCCAGGCTGAAGTCACATTTTGTGGGAGAGCAGTCAATGGCACATAGTTCCTCTGATATTAAGGATTCTGCTATTATTATTATTATTATTGTTGTTGTTGGAGTTGCCATTTTAAAGTGTCTGTAGCAACTGTATGTGTGCGATTGGTGCAGTTAGGAGTTAGCATATGCAAAAACAGCAGTCTCTTTTTATCCCCTGTTCGTTTATCGTTAACTGCTATATTTGAAAGAAAAAAAAAGACAATTGGATTCTACTAAATCGTGAAACAGAGTGGCTTTGCTGTGATTTGTTCATCTTCCTGTCATTTTCTGACATCTAACTTCCCGTTTCAGGCAGCCTGAATGAAAACAAACCCATCACTGCAAAAACATGGTTTCCTTTCCAGAAGCCTCCTACATTCTTTGTGCTTCCTCTCGCTTGAGTTTTCAAAATGCCAGTGCAGAAAACAGCTAGCCAAATATTTCTTCTGCCGTAATAACCTCCTGACTGAAGAGTGTTGTTACTGCAACCACCAGACGTTTAGGTATGGTGCGTTCACAGACTCGGGAGGGCATGTGGAAAAATTAAATGTAGTTTCCAGCCAACTGTTTACAGTGAACGTAAAATCAATGCTCTGGCAATTAAAGCAGACATTCTTCTGACGCTTCATCTATTTTTGGTTTCAGGCACACCGGCAGGGTGGTGAAGGACGTCATCAATATGGGGTCATACAACTACCTCGGCTTTGCTGAGAACACTGGCACTTGTGCCGATGCTGCTATCGAAGTCACACAGAAATATGGAGTCGGCGTGGGAAGCACTCGCTGTGAGATGGGTAGGTTTAATCATCCTGTAAGTTCGTTTGTAAGTTGATTTGATGTAGTTTTTTTTCCCCAGCTGCTACATCAGTTTTTAAACAAACAACAGTTGTGTATTTCGTAAATAAAAGGGTGCAGCGAGGATTAAAATTGAACACTCTCTCTTCTTCGTAATTTTTTTTTTTTACAGGCAACCTGGACATCCACGAGGAGCTGGAAGAGTTGGTGGCCAGGTTTCTGGGTGTCGAGTCGTCCATGGCCTTTGGGATGGGCTTTGCTACCAACTCCATGAACATTCCTGCTCTCACTGGGAAGGTGGGGGTGGGAGAGTTTTTGTCTCTTCCTTTGTGTTTTGTTATTTGTTCCCTGCTGAATCTTGCGTAACTCCTTCCTTTTGAACGTGTGGGCGTTCCTGTCCAGTTATCCTGGCCTTCTTCCTGCAACAAGTTTCACTGTTACTGGAAAACCTGCCGCATCGTCTGCGTAAATGGCTCAGTCGCGTGTTCAAAGAGGAAGGCCGGCAGCTTCCGGTTCAAGCTTTGAAAGCACTCTGAGTGCAAAGGGTTGACGACTGATGTCAGGGCTGCTTTGACTGGATTCATTGTACGCAGCGCGAGCCAACAGAATCATTTCCTGACTGAAAACAAGTGGAGAACAATTAAGAGTCGGAGAGAGGAGCAAGACATGCACAAGTTGTTCATAAATTCCCAGCTCTGACTGCGCTTTCGTTGCTCGTTTACATTCTTATGAGCCCACCTTTACAGCCCAAATCTGTGTTATGCAACATGCTTGTTTGCTCTTTGGCCACAGGAAGTTACGTAAACTGAATCATTTCTTTTGCAGAATGTTTGCCTTTGTATTTATTTCTATGGGCTTTTCAGATTTAGGGGCGTCGCTAAATGAAATCCCATAACATTCACCATTCAAAGAAAGATAATGGTGTGTCTCTTTTTACTCAAAGCGCAAAGTAGTGATTTGTAATAGAATGCAATCTGACATTTTAAAAGTCTAAATTTGGGAAGCATTATTTACAGTTGAAACCAGATATTTTAAGACACCTAATGAAAAAAAAAAACAGACATTTTTTTTCTGTCTGTCTGAAGATAAATCAGACCAAACCTTTCTGGTTTTGGGCCAGTTAGGATTACCAAAATGATTTGTATTTGCATAATATCATGTCATTTAACAAAAATTCAAGATTTTTTTTTTCCCCAACCTTCTTTTTGTGGATTGTGTTCAAGCATTTAATTTGAGCAGGAAAGTCATTTACCTTAATGATAGTTGTTTGGATTATTTCAAACAACTATCAGTGAATGTTTATTATTCGTAACGGCTCGATAAGTTATGTCGAGGTTTTCTTATTTTTTATACTCTAAACAAAGTTATTGAAATTGTTACATAATAATTTAACAGTAATAAACAACATCACTTCATAGGGAATGAAACAAGTTTTTTTTTTTTTTGGTTTATTGGTATTGTTTTTATCTCTGTGGTGGAAAAGTTGAAAAACTCCCCTTGGAAATGCTTGAAAAGTGCTTCGGTTTTACTGTGGGAATCGCATTTGAGCCCTAAATAATGTAATTACGGGGCCAAAGAAAAACTGTTGCTCAACACCAACAACTCAAGCATCTGAATCCCTGGATTAGCTGGTTTCGCAAGTGATACTAATAGATAATGTTTGCACGTGGGTGCATAAAATAAGATCACGTAGCAAAACGGAAGTTAACTCCTGGTTCTTGCCGTAGGGTTGTCTCATCCTGAGTGACGAGCTGAACCACGCTTCGTTGGTCCTGGGCGCTCGGCTGTCTGGCTCCACGATCCGAGTCTTCAAGCACAACAGTGAGTGACTTCTCTCACTTCTGTCTGAAATGGGAACGAACACACGGCATGAGAGAACACCCAACGTGTGTAGAAATACTAATCCTCTTGATTACATCCACTCTTTCAACACTGTTCAACAATCACCTATGAAAAAGGATTTATCCTGGTGGTGAGGACAGACGTAACGACATGGGTGTGTGTCGATCGCTGCTAATTTCACATTGTCTCGACTTGTCCAACTCTTCCATCAAGTTTTTCGACTGCTATTCTAAAAGTTGAAAGGATCTGTATGATTTCTGTTTTCCAGAAGTCTGCGAAAATTTAATTTGCCTTCATTTCCCCAAAGTTGATACTTTGAAGAGCTTAATCAGTTGCACCGGCGGTGGTCAGATATATGGACGTCAAATGTCATCATAGTTGTCCATTTTCTCTTCTAAAGTCTTCTGGTAACATAACTGTTCCCGTCTCCTACTCGCCTCTGCAGACATGCAAAGCCTGGAGAAGCTGCTTAGAGACGCTATTGTTCACGGACAGCCCAGAACCCACAGACCCTGGAAGAAGATCCTGATTGTGGTGGAGGGCATTTACAGGTATGTCTGCTGGTCGCACGAACGTTGGCTGAGTTAGCATGATTGAAAAAGAAGATTTTTTTCCCTCTGTTTTACTGCCAGACAAACCGTTTTCAGGCAGGTTGTGTTCTAAATGAAGTAACTGTGAAATTGCCATTAGCCTTCCTTTCTACCAAGTCCCAGTCTGAAGCAGATCGAAGAATGTCTCTAAATATATTTGCATGCTCCAGATATCACAATGGTTCTTTCAAAAGCGCTGTCAGGGAAGCGGCGTTGCAATTACTTGCTTAATAAAATCCAAGGAGCAACAAAGATAAATTCACTTTAGCAAGTGTTGCTGTTTGGTTGGAGAGGAAGTTAACGCTTTTGAATGCATTTCATTTCATCAAAATGGCTGCTGACATCCCCGCTAGGTATTGGTTTCCACTAATCAGGTCTAAACTATTGCCATGCAGTTTTTGATTTAACTTTGTCTTCTTGATTTAAAAAGAGCCCTTTGCCTTTGAAAAGAACATTTGTGCATTATCAAAAATGCATTGAGCAATTTTCTTGTACCTGCGTTGAGTGTAGCATTTTGTATTGTCAATTATTGGGCTTCAATTTTATTGGATATCTTTCAAGGTAATGGATCTTACCTTGAAAGGTGCTTTCAAGGTAAAATGAGTTGCTAATGTTATCTTTTTGTTGCGGTCATCAAATTCATTAGTTTACAGAAGTTCTTTGTCTTAAGACCAAGTGATAGAGACAAGAGAAGGAAGATTTCAAAAGTAAAAGTACAGAACAGTTTGCATGAGGAAATGAAAAAAATACTTGACTGTAAATCAATTAAAAACATCATAAGATCAAAATAAATAAAGTCTTAAAACCTTTTGAGCTAATAATGAGGAGAATCATATATTTTGAAACTTTTATTGATAATTCAATGTATAAAGCTGTAAAAATTCATTCTGTAATCATTGAGAAAGGGACCAGATTTTTTGTCATCTTCCTGTACCCTTATGACTCACGTGTATTAAGGATTGTTGTAGGAGTGTTTGTGGGTTGGTGGTGAAATTTAAACTGAGTCAATAAACGGACTGATTTAGATTTCTTTAAACCTCAAAGCATGGAGGGGTCCATCATCCGCCTGCCTGAGGTCATCGCCCTGAAGAAGCGCTACAAGGCGTACCTGTACCTGGACGAGGCCCACAGCATCGGCGCTCTCGGCCCAAACGGCAGAGGAGTGGTGGACTACTTCGGCCTGGACCCCAAGGATGTCGACATCATGATGGGAACGTTCACAAAGAGCTTCGGCGCTGCCGGTGGATACATCGGAGGCAAAAAGGTCAGCAGCGAAACCTCTGGAGGGATAGCTGTGAAAACCCGTAAAAGTAGAAGTTGTGATTCAAGTAGTTTGAGTGCTTAATCATCCTCAGCAGATTGGGCAAGTTTCCTGTTTTTACTGCGTCATATGGTGTTGGTCAACACTGTTGCCAAAAAAACAGAAATCCAGTTTTTTGTTTCTTGAAAAGTTGAGCTCGGATCATCCAGTTGTTGTTTTAACCATTCAAGAAGAAAAGGCCTATTAGATTTTGTTGTTTCATAGCACTTTCTCTCCATATAGAAGAGCTCCTAAGGTAGTGAAAAGTCAACTGAAGCACAATTTACTACTTTCAAATTTGTGTTTCCAGACAATATTTATTCCAATTCCAATATGATGAAAAAATGACCGAGTACCAAGTTGTATTTGTCTTTATATACTTACAACAGTCAAAAACTAATTTGACTGATTTCTCTGTCAGGAGCTGATCGACTACCTGCGCAGCCACTCTCACAGTGCTGTGTACGCCACATCCATGCCCCCTCCTGTGGCCCAGCAGATAATCACCTCCATGAAGATCATTATGGGAGAGGATGGAACAACTCTGGGTACGTGTCAGAAAAGCACCAGTAGGAAAAATTTCTCAAATTAAACCAATATATCACCTTGCATTGAGATCACTGCTTTCTTTTGATTAGAAATATGCAACTTTCATACTTGGTTTCAGTTTTTCGGTTAAAAAAAAAAGACTGCAAGTGTTTGGTTCAACCACAAGATGGCGGTAAGCCCGTACTTTACATTGCAAGACTTCACCAGAGAATTCATTCTGGAGCCAAAGATTGTTCCTCTCAGTTCCCATGAGCCCTGCCAGACTCACCAGCACATAAAAAGTAGCTGGACTGCTTTATTACAAATTAAGACATCTGTGATGTACTTCTAAGCACTGCATTAGCAAAGTCTAATTAAATTCAAAGTTCTTTTAAACTCGTCGGCTTTTGAAGAACGCTGTTATTAGGAGATTCCTTTCAGTAAAAATGGCATCGTTTTCTTCATAAATTCACCTTTTTTCTTTCTTTTTTTGTTAATCGTAAACCCTCGCCTTGTTTTTTTGTTCAGCTTTGGGCCAGGCTATTGGAAAGACCTCTACCTATTCCCTTTTATCACTTTCACATGTGCGCTCTGTTTTTTTTTGTTGTTGCTTTCACACTGTGGGTGCAAAGCAGCATGGTGCCTCGCGACCAGACGCCTCTGCAGACCCAACTTTGCTGGACCGTCCTATGCACACAAATAAACGACGAAGCCGTGTTATTCTTTCTGGGGCGGCACCTTCTTTACTTTTTACGAAGCTTGATTGATTCAAACACCCCTACCACCACCCCCCTCCGTCCCTCAACCCGTCCTAAAGCTGATCTAAGATCAGGTTACGCTACTTTTCAAGCCTCCCAGTTGATAGGTACAAGAATAACAACTCCCGCCGCAACCTTTGTAGTGTGCTCTTTCTTGTTTGTCTTCTTTTGTGTTTTTTTTTTGTTTTTTTTCTAAGAAGACAAGGCCTGACCTTGCGGCGAGAATATTAGCTTGACAAGTTTTTCCCACAACCCCCCTGTGGAAAGAGTACCAGTGACAGTATGATTAGTTGCAGCTCAGTCACTGTTTGCAATTCAAGCCCTTTGAAGTTTCAGATGCTGACACAGAGTCAGCGTGACAGTCGGAGCTGCCTGTTAAAGCCCTGTTGGTTTCCATATGTCGCGCACAAAAAGGACGCCAGACGCACGCCTGAATCGAAACGGAAGCTTTAATTGAACGCTTAACGCGTGAACGAGAGGGGCAGGAACAGCGACGCGCTCCCACCCGTGTCCCCCCCCCTGAACAGGACGGCTGAGACGTGCGAAAGCCAGCTTTCTGTTTCTGGCTAGCGGATCACTCTGGGCCAGGAATACCTGTGGATTTCTTCACAATGGAAAATATGTGCGGGTAAATATAAAGCCGGAGTTTGTTGTGTCTCAGGTTGCTTTGAAGCTCCGCTGTTGCTGTTGTGGCTTTTCGAGCTGCGGCCCGGACAGATGTGTGTTGCTGTTGGCACTTCGGGGCACATGGCTATTTGTTTGGTTGGGACGCAGTCGCGTGAATCCGCAGCGTGACATGGCATCGTCCAATATCTGTTTAGTTTCAGCTTGTTGACTATGAACCAAAATAATTTTGTTTGTGTTCAACACTTTTTTTTCACCCCCCCTCAATAGGTAACGGGGTCAACATAAAGAACTGATCTCTTACATGAAAGAGTAGAAAAACAAAAAAGCAAAAATGTATACTCTGATCAGCTGTCGTGTCACTACTTTACTTTCCACTCCACTTTTTTTTCACGACTTGAAATACATTCAAGCAGATTAATGTGTCTGTCGAGTGCGGAAAAAGTGCAAAAGAGTTCTTTCAGCCAGCTGGCAAGTAGTACAAAGCATCAGGTTGGGGAGGGGAAGCGCTTCAGTAGTCATTGCTTTAAAAGTCGTAAAAAAAAGTCTGATCAGTTTGGACCTTTTTTCTTTTTTGTTTTCTGCCATTTCTCTAAAAACAATTCAAACCACAGGAACATTATGGTGCAAAACGGTTTTGAAACCATAACCCTGCAATACTTTGATAATAATGATAACCGGCCCATGCTTACTTTAAATTAGCAAAACTATTAGAGAGTTTTAGGAAGTTATAACTCATTTCTTAAAGGTGTTCGTCGGCTGCGTTTTTCTTTTGTTTGCTAGCTACTTGTGTCTTTTAAGGAAGTTTCACTTTTCAAATGTTCTAAAATCATATCAAGAAATAAGAACCATATGTTCTCAAATAAAAATGCAATTCACAAATATAACATCCCAATAATATGCATTCAATTATGAACTACACATACACTTTGTGAATAAAGTACTATAAATTGATAGTTTTCATATTCGTATTTGCACATTGAGTCTCTTGTCTTTGCGTTTTCTAGGCACCGACCGCCTCCGGCAGCTTTCAGAGAACACCAGATACTTCCGCAGGAGACTCTGCGAAATGGGCTTCATCATCTACGGAAACGACGACTCGCCCGTCGTACCGCTGATGCTCTACATGCCGGCCAAAATCGGGTAAGCGTCGCCGGTTTCGGGTTCCCGTCGAACCCATCGGCTTCGTTTGTTTTGTTTTTTTGCCGCCTTAACGCGAACTGCTCGGGTCGCCTTTGTGTTTCAGGGCTTTCGGCCGGGAAATGTTGAAGAGGAACATCGGCACCGTGGTCGTCGGCTTCCCGGCCACGCCTATAATTGAGTCGAGAGCGCGCTTCTGCGTTTCAGCCGCTCACACCAGAGAAATGCTCGACACCGTAAGTAAATCGCGAGCTGCTGCTCAGCGGCGATCTCAGTTTAAATGATGGAGCTGTAGGCTGGTTTTGAAGTTGTACTTCAGTCCAATTTTCAAAAAATAAGTAATAATTTTACTTATTTTTTTGTAATTCAAGCTTATTTTGATTCCGACACAATCAAAATAGGGCCTGTCTTAATTTATCAAACAGGTAAACTTGTTTAGGGAGGATTCTCTAAACTTTCTAAGTTTGCATTTTATATCAAATAAAATAAAGAGCGCCTCACTTTAGACTTTGTAACTTACTTCTTTTGACTTTCTCTAAATTTCTTTCTATGCTTTGTGGTTCCTTGAATTGCTTACAATCCACAATTATTAATATTCCACATTCTGCCTTGCACCTCAAACAATATTTAAAACACCTGCAAGGTCATACCGTCTTGAAATATTACTGCGTAGCGTGTCTTTAAAGTGTAACAGTTTTATTGAGGCTCCGCTCCGCTTCTCCAAAGACACTTTATTCATCTGTCAGAGGAGGGAGCACATCATCGGCGCCGTTTGTGAATTGTCCGTTTAACGGGTATCGGCCTGCTTTTGGCACTCCGAGGAGCCGCTTTTTTCCGTCTTCGGGAAAGCCAGCCCTCTCCTTTTCTCTCTCCCTGTTCCTCAAAGCATGGAATCAGGAAAAGAAAAAAAAAAAAGGTCAGGAGGAAGGTAAATTGTTTCCAGGTGCCCTGCAGTATGTTGCAATACTGATAGGGTCTCTGGTGGAAAGGAGCGGTGATGCGGGGGGGGTAGGGAAAGCTTTTTTTTTTTTTTTTGTTCAATGCTGTTTTTGTTTTTTTACACTGAGCCTTCTGTTCACCTTTCACCTCCGCTTTCCCACTCTGACATGTCCACACATCCCCACCTCCATTTGACTGGCACAAATAAAGCCTCTCCCGAGTCTTCACTAATATCAACCTCCTATTTCCTGTTTCGTTTCGTTTTGAAGGCTCTGGAGGCCATTAGTGAAGTGGGCGACCTGCTGCAGCTGAAGTACTCCAGACGGGAACAACCTCTCCCCTCTCAGGGATGGATGTCTGAAGAGAGCCTCCTTCAGGACTGAACCAGCTCCCATCTTTTATTTCCTCCTTCCTAACCTCTCTGCACAACACACATCCCGATAGATTAATTTATCCGATGACAAACACTTGGAGCCTGTCTCACCCACTCAGCTGCTCCGTGTCTGCGAGAAGCGAACCTGTGGCCTGCGACCTGTTCGCAAGACTCGTCACAAAGTGTTTCCAGGGCATTGCTCGCTTCCTCACACGTCATGTCTTAAATCTTTTTATATATCTCTGTTTATAGAGATATATATATAAAAAATATATATATATAATACGTTTTATTTGTGCAATAAAAAAAGAGAAAAGATTTCAAGAAGCCTAAAACAAAGTAGGGGGAGCTCTGATGTGGAGAAGAGATCTGATCCTAGCCTTTTTGCACGAGACAAACCTGATGCGTGTAAATATTATTTATCGCAAAAGGAAAGGCGTATTATTTCACACACACACAGACGATTCCCGGTGTGTTTTGATCCGATCGCTTCTACTTGAATCTGCTCATAGAATATTGGATTTTCTTTTTGTTGTTTTGTTTGTTCCCCCCCCAACCAAAGGTTATTGCATATGTATAGATATATTTTCTACATTTCTCTTGAAATGCAAAGCAGATATTTCCAAAAGAAAAACATGTAACTGGGGGGAAGAAAAAAAAAAAGACAAAAAAATCCCAGGAGCAAGACTGACGAAAAATATTTTTTTACCGCTTATTTTCTATTAATAGTCCTGCAGCCTAATTTACTGTTTACACCTGCACTCAAACACTTGAGCCAAGTGTCTTTAACATTTCTTTGAGGTAAACGGCCAACATGTATATTCTCCATTCTGCTCACTAAAGTGCTTCTATGTGAATATCCGAGCATGACGACGCGCTGCAACTTCGGTCTGTATGCATGACGATGCTGCTCCAAACCTCATCCGATATGTACAGAACACTTTTTATTTATTGAAGAACGCCGTCTCGTCGTTTCGCTATCTGTTTTTGAAAGGCAGCTCTAAAACATGCTACAGTCGAGAAGATCTATTGGAATCAATTACACGCGTTAACATCCGCACTGTACCACTGACAGGCGCTCGAAATGCCGAATGACGTTGGTAGGAAAGTTTTATGTACATCCACGTAAATATATACTCTGAATGTTCTTTATTTATTGTTTTTTTTTTTCACCATGATTTTTACATTTTGTGATCATCCACTGAAACAGCATTCCATAATCATTTTTTGCTTTCAGTGTGTAGCTGTCATTTTGATCAGTTTTTATGTTGTTGTTTTTTTGGTAAACCGTCTGCTGTCCAGTTTCAATGTGAGTCATTTTTGTTCTGTCACTACTGTTGTCAGCTGAAGGTGTTGGTTGTTGGTCAGAAAGTTGTCTGTTGTCTGTCAACGTGTTCTTTTATGCTGATAAAAAAAAATATCAACAAACATTAACGGCTTTGTTTTCTTTTTGCTTTTTTTCGTCCTCCACACATCCATCGTACCCTACGGTGGCATATTTATCCAATGCATCTCACTTCATCCTGTAATACGTTGAACAGTATTTTTTTGTTTTTTTGGGTGGGTGGGTGAAGTTTATAAAATGTGGAAAACATGATCATAAGTGCATAAAAAGGATTTTCTTCCAAGGAGAAGTTTCTCGTCGAGCGGACCGTTGGGAGTTTGCAGTTGCGCCTTGGTTGCAAATTGGGTTTATTGTTGGAAGAAAAGCTCAAATTGGTCAGGTGTTTGCAATAAACAGCAGAAACTGTTTGGGAAAACCTAATATTACGGGAACTTCGTCATCATTGAACGCTACTTAACGGCAAACATTTGCAAACCGAGAGTGGTCCGATGCAATGGCTTTATTTGGCTGCATCGGGTCGAGATGCAGCGCCTCAAATACCTGGACGGCCCACAGGAACATTTCTTTGTGTATTGCAAACATTGTGGGTACAAAGTTCAGATGTTGTCCAAAAAATATAGAAATATAGCAAAGACCTTGACTTTTCCTAGAGTTACAAATGGAAACATATCTGCGATTTTTCAAATACGGACCTTTGCTCCCTGGTCAAGGTTCTTATCATCGTTTGCCACCAGATTACCGTGGAGACAGGTGGTCAGTAAACCGCGGTTGGTGTCGATTCGACTCCCAAACGGGGAAATAACTCCCGAGCACGTCTGAAAGTACAACAAGGCTTCGGTTTCTGGATGATGCTGGAGTGGCCCATCATATCGTTGCCTGACTTGAACTTTGCTGAAAATCTGTGGTGTGGTTTGAAAAGGTGCTTGCGGCACCCCAGCCTAGCATTAGAAAGGAACTGGAGGACTTTGCTTGTAATTAATCAGGCTAAGTTTCCTCAGGAACACTGCTCCCAGCTGCTGTCTGACTACCAATCACGTTTGCAGAAGTAATGTTTTCTTTGTCTTTTTTTCTTTTGAGACTTGAGTAGTCATGAAATGTAAAATCCAGCGTTTGATGTGGAGAAGTCACTCATAATATTAGTCATGAGCTCTTTAAATTATTACTGCAAACAGCTGCTAGTTTGTTTCTTTTACCAATAAACCTAATTTGCAGCTGGTGTTGGAACTTGGTTTTGTTTTTCCTCTCAACTTCCCATATACGAATCTGTGCATTTAGTCTTTGAGGAATATGTTCAAAGTCTGGGTTTCGGGAACAAATATAATGTGACCTTTACTTCCCAAACCGAACTGTCAGGAAACTGATCAGCCACTTCTGTCTTTGGAACTGTTCGCCGGTTGACAGATCTGTAAAGCCATGATGTTTCTGAACCATGCTGCTAGAAAACTGTGCCACGAAGATTAAATCAGTTTGGAAGTCGAATGCTTTTCTGGCTAGTCTTGTTTTATTTGCTGAAAATAAATCAGGACCGAAACTTTTAGAGCTAAAACTGCAAATTACAAAGGACAAGTCATTAACTTTACTCACTAAATTTTTGAGAGTTTTAATGTTTTAGGGAGCAACAGTTTAAAATGATGTTTAAAATCGACTTCAACTACAAAAACAGATAAGAAACCATATGATCATGAAAAGTGGGTTTATACTTTTTATTTGGGTTTATAAAAAAATAAACCCAAAGTGGAAAGGCAGATTTATTTACATGTTACTAACCGGGAATGTCGACATTGACGATACACAGGACTCAATTATGGATTCTCATCAATCTGGGAGAAAATACAAGCCCATTTCCAAACAACTAAATGTCTTTTATACGTCAATCAACTGACTTGTCTGTTTCTCAATTGGATTTGGATCTGGACTTTGACTAGGCGATTCTAATACATGGCTATGCTTTGATCTGAGCCATCACCTAATCCTTACCTGGATTGAAAGGTGAACTTTTACACCCATCTTGAGCCTCTAACAGGTTTTCTTCAGCATTTGAAGCTTGTATAGAGCTCCATCCATCAGCTCAACTCCTTAATAAGGTCTCATTTGTGGACTGATCTACTTATTGTTGTGATTTTTCTTGTTTGTCGGTGCTGGGTGTGCTTCTCTCCAGGACCTCCAGGTTTAGGCGACAGTGTGTGTGTGTGTGTGTGTGTGTGTGTGAGTGAGTGGCACCGTCACACCTGACTACTATCAACTAATCCACATCTGAGTTGAAAGGCTCTCAAGACAATTTCTTGCTTGGTGGTCAGCCACTGATAGTAGAAATTAACCTTTGACCACCATTGAGATTTTTTTAGTGAAAACTCATTGTTTTTGGCATTCACGTTTGTCTTTTGCAGTCCTCCAACTTGGGACACTGACCCGAATAAGCTCTTTGAGTGGCTTCCTCCTCCGATTCCATCTCTCACCCTCTTCTAAAGCGTACATTTGTCCCCAGTCACGTAATGCTCCACTCGTGAAAGCAAATCTGTCCGGCTTCTCCTTGGCACTCAGACAACAATTCTGAGAAACATTAAAAAAAAAAAAAAAATCACTCCTCTCAGCTCCTCAGCCTGCCTGCTCTCCAACAGACCACCTGCACTTCCAGGAATCCTCACCTTCTGGATCACTCCCAGCGACACATCTCCAAGTCAGACTGATCCTTTGTTCCCCCTCAGAACAACATTTCGAGACCCTCGATATGTCGACTTGTCCAATTCTCTCACCTGAACTCTGGATTTCTGCAAGACATTCAGATGACAAGCACTTAAACTCATTGATCCCTGATTTGCCTGCTTGTGTTTGTTGGTCATAACTACAGATGTTCGACATATCAGAATTAGCATCGGTATTGGCCGATATTAGTCGTTTTTTAACATATCGGTATTGACCCAAAAATAATAAAACTGGGTCAAACTAATATTTAGCTCCTTCTGCCTGTTTCTGGTTAAAAAAAAGTTCTAAAGGTGTCAAAACGGTAGAGAAATATATATGATATGGGTAAATATAGTTTATCAGAAATAATAGCAATATTAATATCAGATATTGATATTGGCCCGAATTTTCAAATTCATGCATTCTTACTCATAACGATGTCGTTTATCTGCTAATATAACTGAAAGAACTTCATGGTACACTGAATTTAAGACATTTTTTGATTAGGTAAGTTTTGAATGCAATTGGTTGCACTGTATTTTATTTAGAGCAGATATTTCACTCAGGGTAAAGAGAATGAAAATGTGGGATTTTTCTTTTCCACATTTAGAAAAGAAAAATTAAATCATTACACTTCACTATTTTTGAGATTTTGTGATGGTCTGTCACATAAAAAAAGATAGTGAGACAGATCGAAGTTTAAGGTTTCTTACTATGAAAAGTTGGGTTTATAGCTATGCAGCTGACTTTTCCTGCCTTCAGTCAGTTTTACTGAACAAACTATTGCTTTCACCTTGTCAAGCTCCTCAGTGGCCCCACTGCACCCTCTCCACACAGCTGTGAGCAATCCCACCCCCAACTCCCACAGCGTGAAACCTCTTGATGCGTGCGCGAAAGAGGCAAAGTTTTGCCTGAACCGTTTGGCTGGGCGGGTCGCGCGCGCAGACGCGTCGTATCAAACCGTTGGATGAACCTCGGCTCGATAATGGATTAACGACTCAAGCAGACAACCGGCGAGAGCAACGCTTAACGCCCAGATGTCAATGTATTGGAAGAGAAAACCCATCCACCCGCTGACGAGGACTGAGTCACAGTTTAAAGCAGCGGAATAACCGTGCGCCGGTGCGGACGGGGAGATTCAGCGTGGGGTATTACACTCTTCCCCTCCACCACCCCAACCCCATAACCCCACGTACTTAAAAGCCCGCCGCCGCGGCGGTTTTTTATGGGGAAGAGAAGCGTGGAGCTCGCGCCGCCGAACGGACCTACAGCTGCTGCTGCGCGAGCCTCTGGTATATCCGACATGGACAGCGCGCGGGATGCCGTCGCACGTTGCTGGTGCGCATCCTTATAAAGAGCGACGGTTCAACACGCTCGGGACTTCAAACCCGCGTCCGTCCCGAGCTGAAGTCAGAGCCAAAGCGGCGGACGAGAGTTTTTGACGACGAGCGTTTCTCCGGAACCGGGACCGGCCGCCTCGCCGAGAGCAAACCAGAGAAAAGTACTTTTCAAAGGAACTTCAAAGGGAACACACCGCGGCAGAGAAGATGCGTGGAGAGGTCGCGAGGAGATTTCAGATGCTGCTCGCGCTGTGCTCGATTCTTCTCGTCAGTTTGGGGACGGGCTTTCCGACGAAACGCAAGAGTTTCACCCATAAGGTAAGATGAACCTACAGTTTCAGCGTCCTGGTTGTCTTTATTAGCAGATAACCTTTAAAAAAAGAGAGAGAGAGAGAGAGAGAGAAAACATGGGTTGTAGAAATTTAAAGTAACTTTGTTGTTCCAGAGCCGGTCCAAAATTATACAGGGACTTAGACGGAAGTTAAGTTTGATACCATCCCAACAAGATTGGGTGACACGGTATTTATTGCGATAATGATAAACGTGATGTTGGAAGTTATTTAAAATCCTTATCTTTCGGCAAAAATATTTGCGACTTCATTGTCGGAGCCCCACAAATGCAAACGCTGCTCTACTGCCTTTGAAATGATTTGTGTTGTTGATGTTTTAGCTGCACAGAATAAGAGCATTCTTCACCATTTCTAGGATGCTAATATTTAGCCAGGCTCTCGCGAAACAAAGGCAGTGGAAAGTGGGGGGATTCGAACAATCACGACCACATCTCAGGCTTCATTGTTAATGAAAAAAAAAATCTATAACTTTTGATCATTAGAATTAATTCCATGTAATTAATCACTTATTGCCTCTTCCTGCTTCTCAGTGCTATACAAATATTGCCTTTCACATGTTTGAAAGATTGTCACATTTGGGAAAACAAAATGGTTTCATTCTGAAGAGCAACAATGTCTTTTGAGTGACACCAAAATCATAAGTTATGTTAAAAAAAAAAGTTTCACCAGTTTTGTATATAAAATTTGGGAATTTAGAAAAATTTTGATTGACTTGAT